CATGAATTTAGGACTTTGATTATTCATGAAAGTAACAGACTTTCTTTGTTTCTTTGATTTATCAGTCTTAATAATGACATAAGGATCACTCTTTCCAATAACATCTTTATTTTTTAAATGTTCAGCTTTTTCAATGAAAACTTCATATTTATAAACTTGTTGTGGTTTTGGATCATACATTGGTGGAATTTCATTAGGAGCAACGTTATGATAAATTCCTCTAATACATTTAACTTTAACATTAAATGTAGCGAATTTTTTAGAGCTTACTTTAGCATTGATCTCTTCACCATCAAGTAAATCAGGAACGCACCATGTTCCAGTTGTTAATAAAACGTCTTTAATTCCAAGAGTTTCTTTAAAGATTAATTCAAATTTAATTTTTTCACCAGTTTTAACCCAGCAATAAAAATCTTCTTCATATTTAGCACACCATAATTCTCTAACTTTTTTAGTTTTTTGATGTTCAGTCATAGATGTTTTAAATCCAACTCTAACATTATAATTATTATTATTAAGTGCTTCTTGTGGAATAACACATGGATATAAATAAACACATGGAATTGAAATTTTTAATAATACTTTAGTATCTCTACGAACTGGTTGATATTGAAGAGGAATTCCACCTGAAATACATTTAATAGAAATGTACAATAATCCCTTTTCATCAATTTTAAGAATTTCATAGACTGTATCACCAGTAATAAGTTGTGGAACGCAATATTTTACTTTTCCAATTTTATCATCTTTACCAATTCTATCATGGTCATATAATTTAAATTGAATTTCTTCTTTTGGACTTACTTGGAAATTAAATGTTTCATTCCAATCTGGATTTAATGATGGTTTAGCAATTTTGGTTTTTTCTTTCTTTTTTCCAACTTTAACTTTTACATATCCATCAGATGTACCAGTTATATCAGCAGCTTTAATACCACGAGCTCCAATGATAGTAAGTTGAATATTCATTGACATATCCCTTGTTTATATTCATACATTTAATTTTAGGTTTTTAAATACCTCTGCCAACTCATATGTTTTATTTTTAGTAGTTTGCTCCTGTTTGTATTAAAACTCTTTATTCTTTGCTTTTTTTGACTAAAAAATTATAATTTTATCTCTATTTATTTTCAGTTCTCATGGATTGAAAATTTTTTATTAATTTCTCTTTTTTTTTATGTAAAAAGTTTGAATAAAATTATTACTTTAATAAAAAGATGTATTTAGATTTTAATAATTAAGATTTTTAAATGGTTGAAAAATGAAAAAAATAGAAGCAAAAGTGTGTTGATTGAAAGAGGAATTTGATATGAAAATTTTTTGAACCAAAAATAGATTTTTTTAAAATAATAATGACTAATTAACGATATTAAATTTATGGATGAAATGAGGAATTTTTTGTATGAAACAGGATAAAAAATTAGGTTTATAAAACAACACAGACGCTAAAAACGTAAGGGGTATCTAATTTGTAAGTTTTTAATAATATAAAAAATATAAAAGAATAAGTAATAATAAAAAAAGACACACTAAGAAGTACATACAAAATAAAAATGAGTAATAACAATAATTGACAAATGACAAATATTTATTTCTAGTATATTGTTATTTAATTATAATTTGAAATTAGGAATAAAAAAGGTATTTTTTATTAGAATATAATTAAATAATTAAAATGAAATAACATTTTACTTTATAATAAATAATCTTTTTGTTAATTTTTTTTTGATATATTTCTTTCAGTTTACACATATTTCCTTTCTTTACCTAAAGAAATTTTGATATTATTTCCTTCTTCTTCTTCAAAAAAAAAGATATTGAAGTTTAATGGTAATAATCAATATAACTAATTCTTTTTAATTTACGAAAATGATTTCATATTTTAGTAATATAATTAATGTTCTTTCTTTTAAGATATATAATATTATGATTTTGTACAAGTTCAGTACAAGAATATATTTATAAATTCATACCAAGGAATATTGAAATAACAATCCTATTTAAACAACCTTATTAGTGATTAGTTTAAAAAGTCCGAGTATTATTCTATTAGAATGTATCTTAAAATTTAAGAATATAATTTTATTCTCATCTTTATTAACATTTTTTGTTTATTTAGTTTAATATTCAAGTAAAAATTTTTATTGGAATTGGAATAAATTTGGAAGTTGGAATTAAGAATTTAATTTTGATTAAACCGTAATAAAAATGAAGGGAAATTTGTTTCTAATAATTTTGAAAAAAAGACAATTTGAGTTATTCACAAACAAAGAACAAATTAAAATAGATTAAAACACTCTTTAATTAAAATATCATGAACCATCTGAAAATTTTTTTCTCTCAGAAAGAAATTATTAAAACAATTACATTAAATATTTTAATAAATTACTTCATAAATTTCTATTTGTTGAAAAAAAAACAGGAGTAAATGAGTTTTATTTATTATATTAAAAATTTAAGGAAAGTCACATAAAAAATTTGTAGAACAAAGTTGCAATAATTGAGAAAATAAGAATAATTCCTGTTGTAAATTTAAGTGTTGCATTTTTAATTTCAATTTTATATTCATCTAAAATGAAATTTTCAACAACTTTATTACGAGTTTTTAAATCAGGAATTGAGTTAGCAATAGCATCAGAATACAATTTTTTATATTCTTTTTTTAAAGACCATGGATTAAAAAATGAATGATTTTCTTTTTTTATTTGTTTTCTAATTCTATCAAAATCATGAAGAGTTATTTGAACAAACATTTCAGAATTTTGTTGATCTAAAAATTTCTTTTTAGTATTAATAAATAATTGTAATTCATTAAAAATAGTTGTATAAGTTTCATCATTAATAAATTTCTTACAATTGAAATTCATTTTAAATAAAATATTTTTTTCAATTTTAGTTATAATTTCATTAAGTTGACTATCAATTAATGGCATTTTAATTGTATTTATTTGTTCAATAAATTCATTCATTCTTTCATTTTTTTCATTTTGTAAAAATTGAACTAATTCTTTAAGATTTTTTTTAACTGTTTCTTCTTTTAAATTTATTAATTGATTTTCAATTTTATTTCTAATAATTGAAACTTCTTCCCAGTCATTAAATTTAGTAGTGTCTTTATCAAAAAATAATAATGATTGATGAATTCTTTGATTAAGTTCATTAATAAGTTTATTATTTGGCATTAATTCAGTTTGAGTAGAGAATAAATTAATAGTTTTTAATTCTAAAGAATTTAATACTTCATTTAAAATGATTTTATTTTTATTAAATACTTCTTGAAATGTTTCTATTTTTATTCCTTCATCTATTTTTGTTGAATGAAATTTATTAAAAATATTATCCATTCGTTGTTTATATTGCTTCTCTAATTGACTAATTATTATACTTAATTCCTTTTTATTTAATGGCATATTATTTTCGTTAATTAATTTTATTAATTCATTTTTATTCTTTTTTGCCTCTTCTTTAATATACTTTTGAATCTTTTCATCATTTATTTCTTTCATTTCTTTAATTGGTTTAGAAATATCTATTTCAATATCTTGTAAAACATTTTCTGTTAAATCTTTTATTCCAAATAACATTTTTTCAGCAATTCTTTTACAATTTTGTTTAATAATTTCAATTTTATTATTAATCTCTTCTTCAGTAAATACTATATTTTGTTCATTAATTTTATCTGTATTATTTTTGGCATAATCTAAAACTGATTCTTTTACTGATAATTTTAATGATTTAATATATCCATTCCATACACTTGGAATTGCTGGAAATAAATTTTTATTTGCTGCATGTACATAAAAATTAATAGTACTACAAAATTGTCGTGCTGATATCCCCACTCCTTTAATTATTTCTTGTATAGACTTTCTTAATATTTGAAGGTCATTTAAAAATTCTTCATTTAAACATTGAATTTTTAATTCTTTTAAATTGTCTTTATTTACATGAGGAAGGAATAATGTAAATGCTTTCATCTTTTCAAATAATTTCTGAAGCCTAATAGACTCATTTTCTGTATTCTTTTCTGATGTTGCTTTACCAAATTCTTTTCTTTGACTTGCTTCTAATAATGAAAAGAACCAACTTTCTGTCCTTTCATCTAAGGCATAATCCCGAACAACCCAAAATAATGGTGGAAATGAAACAAATGATTTAGTGAGATTTCCACTATTTTGTAATTCACTTTTTAAAGCAAATAATTGAGCCCTTCGTGATAATAATTCAAGATAATCTAATTGCTGTTGGTCAATAGTACGAATAGTGTTATATATCATTAAGTTACTAGACAATGCAGCTATACTATATATCATTGCATCATATGACTCTGTTGAATTTGCAAGTCCACTTGAAAGACCTTCAGTATCTAAATAAATAATTCCTTCTTTCTCTGAAATAAATATTTGAATCCCTTGTGTAGTTGGTCTATTACTATTAACCACAGGAAAAATGTCTGTAATATTTGTTAATACATTTAATAAAAATGATTTACCAGAGTGATATGGACCAATAACAGATATCACTTTCCCTATATGATGAGTTATTAAAAAAGATTAAAAATAATATAATTATCCAAACAATTTATTTGACTGGACAATAACTCACAAGCAGTTTGATTATAAATTAATTTATCATGATTTACATTAGGATATACTAAAGTAGTAGGTTTAATTTGATGGCTTAATTTAATACCATTATTACAATGAATTTTTCCATTTATACTATAAATGAAAAATAAGAAAAGAATAATATATTGCATTACTTTAGGCATCATTCTTTATTCTTTTTTTTTAGTTCAGTTTCAGGATTGACTTAAAAAGAATTATTAAATAAACATGTGTATTTCCAAATTGAAATTCAATTAAATCTTGGTAAAAATTACTCATAGTAACAAAGAAAAACCATTTGAACACATTTAATTTTCAATTCCCTGGAAATTCAGGAAGAAAATGACTGAAAATAATAAATACTATATATATTAATAAAATTAACTATATATATTAATAAAATAAAAACAAACTAAAGAAACACGTGACCAAAATACTGAGGAAGTGTTGTTGGAGGAAAGAATGTTTAGGTATTGGAATATTATGTTTTGTTCCAACAACAAAACCTCTAGTAATATTTACAGTACTACGATGAGAAACAGTAAATGTTGGAGAATTTGAACGAAGTACAGTAAAAGTGTATTCAGTTACATTACCACAAACAATCATAATAGATTTACCAACTAAAGTGTTCTTAAAATTTACAAATCTAATAGCAGTGATAAACTGATTGGATATTGTAGTTATATTAACAAATAGGTTGTTGAAATTAATTTTATAAAATTGCGAAAAACAAGGTGGTGGTTTATTAAACTTTCCAATATAAAAGTCTTCATTTGCTACTTCATGTATTGTTAAATAATAATACGTTGATTTCAACGGATCACTCACTGTCCATGTTCCATCAAATAAAACATTAAGTGTTCTTGTTAGTGGAAGACTTCTACATATTGAAATGATGGTTATGAGAAGAAGTATCATTTCAATAAATTTCCTTTTTCTTTTCTTTTTTTGTTAATTTTTATTTTTTATCAACTTTTATAAATATTTTTTCTGTATTATCCATTAATTTTAAATAAAATAATGAATATTAAAGTAATTTGTTTAAAAAAAATTATAAAAAAAAAAAATTAAAACTAAAAAGAAATAAAATGGTTGTGTTACTTTCTTTCTGTATTCTTTTACCAATTATTATCTTAATTTTATTAATTTTAAGATTTAAATATCAAAAAAAGAGGACTATAGCTTTCTTCCATCCTAATTGTTCTGCTGGAGGAGGAGGAGAAATGGTATTATGGGTTATAATTAAAGTTCTTCTTCAATCATTCCCTAATTATTCTATTGTTATCTTTACTGCTGATACATCTCCAAAAGATAAGATATTAGAAAAAGTAAAGTCAACATTTGGATTTGATTTCTTAGACTGTAACATTACGTTCTATCAAATCAAACATAGTTATTCTTTAGTTATAAAAAAATATCCCTTTTTAACTTTATTCTTTCAAGCAATTGGTTCAATGATTTGTTGTTTTGATGCGTTAATTAAATGCAATGCAGAATATTTCTTTGACACTACAGGATATGCATTTACTTATCCATTTGCATGGTTAGCAGGTGCAAAGATTATGACTTATACTCATTATCCTACTATATCAACTGATATGCTTAGTGTAGTTCAAAATAGAGAAGTTAGTATTAACAATACAAATACAATTGCACGTAGTTCAATACTTTCAAATATGAAAATCTTTTATTATAAAATATTTGCTTACCTTTATTACTTAGTTGGAAATTTAGCTTCTTTAGTCTTTGTTAATGGAACTTGGACTAAAAACCATATTTCTCAATTATGGAAAATTCAACCTCATTTACTTTATCCTCCATGTGACATTAATGCATCTCATCCAAATGAAAAAAATTCATCTTGTCATCTTATCATTTCTATAGGACAATTTAGACCTGAAAAAAGACATTTGGTTCAAATAGAAGCTATCAATATTTTAGTACAAGAACATCCTGAAATTAAAAATAAAATAAAATTCGTAGTTATTGGTGGTGTTCGTGATGCAGAAGACCTTAAACGTAAAGAAGAAATTATTAAAACAATTGAAAAAGACCAATTAACTGACATTATTACAGTACCTGAAAATACTTCATATGAACAAAAAATTGAATATTTAAAGAATGCTGAGATTGGTCTTCACACTATGGTTAATGAACATTTTGGTATTTGTGTTGTAGAGTATATGGGATTTGGAGTTATTCCTGTTGCTCATAAAAGTGCTGGACCAGAATTAGATATTGTTGATGACCAATGTGGCTATCTTGCAACAACACCTAAAGAATATGCAGACGCTATTTTCAAGATTATAAATGATCCAGAAAAGACTGCTCAAATGAGACAAGCTGCAATTCAAAAAGCTAAAAAGTTTTCAGTCTCAGCTTTTGAAAAACACTGTGAAAAAGAATTACTTGAATTTTTGAAATAACACAATTTATTTGTTTTCTAAATATTTTAATACATTTCATTGTTATTATTTAAAACATATAATTCTTTATTACAACGACAAACACAATCTTAAAAAGAAAAGAATAATTTTTAACAATGAAGCCACAAGGAAAATATGATTTTTTAAATATGGAAGGACCTAAAGGTTATATTGCTGGTTCGTTAAGAGAAGACACAGGTTTTATTACTCAAAATGATATTGGTCCAGCTAGAACATTAATGGTTGGTGAAGCAAATTTTGATGATGAACCTGAAGAAGAAAATGGTGTTAATGATGAAATTGCTGAAAAGACATATGAGATTGTGGAAAAGAGAATGGAAGAACGAAGAAAAAAAAGAAAAGAAATAAGAGAAAAGAAAGAACAAGAAGAATATGAAAAAAAACATCCGACTATTTCTCAACAATTTGCAGATATCAAAGATGAAATAAAGAAAATGAGCCTTGAAGATTGGATGAAAATTCCTGAGGCAACAGGAAGAAGAAACCAGAAAGTCCAAAATGAGTTTTTAGAAGGTAGACATATGCCATTACCTGATACTGTGATTGTATCTAATTATAATCTTAATCAAATTAAAGGAACAATTATTCCTACTCAAACAGATCTCATTCAATTAGGAAATACCAGAAAAAAAACATTGCAATTAAGTCTTGATGGATCAAAAACTTCCATAAGTTCAGTTGATGTTAACGGATATCTTACAGAATTAGGACAAAATCAGGAATTAACAGAAAATGATGTTACACAAATTAAACAATACAAATTTTTATTTAAATCAATGAGAACAACAAAACCTCAGTTAGCTGTTGGATGGATTCAATCAGCATTGATAGAAGAAAGTTTAGGACATCTTTCTGCAGCAAGAAAACTTATTATGGAAGGAACTCAAAAATGTCCAAATAGTGATGAAATTTGGTTACAAGCAATTAGACTTCATCCTATAGAAGTAAGAAGTGATATTTGTGCAAGTGCAATAGCTGTACTTCCAAAGAAACCATCGTTATGGCTTGAAGCAATTGAACTTGAAAAAAATATTATTGAAAAAAGAAAAATTGCACATAAAGGATTAGAATTTGTAAGCAATTCAATTGAATTATGGAAGAAAACTATTGAATTAGAAGATGGAGAAATACAAAAACAAACAATGAAACAAGCTGTTGAAACTCTACCACAATGTGTTGAATTATGGATTATCTTTGCTGAAAAAGAGAGTTATGAAAATAGTAAAAAGATTTTAAATCAAAGTCTTAAAATTCTTCCCAAAGAACCTCTTATTTGGATTGCTGCAGCAAGGATAGAAGAAATAAAAGGACATAACCCAGAAAAAGCAATTGGTATTATTAAAAAAGCATTAAAATATTTTGATAAAGAAAATCTTTCTATTGAAAAAAATATTTGGATTGATGAAGGAGTAAAATATATTAATGAAGCAAAAGCTACGTTAAAAGGAATTATTGAATATATAATCGATTATAAAGAAAAGGATTTAATTTCTTTTTGGAAACATATAGAACAAATATATTCAAATGATGAAGTTACTAAAATGATTTATCAACATGCAGTACAAGTACAACCTCAAAATGATGAATTATGGATGGAACTCATTCGTGTATGTGGGAATGATGAAAAAGAAATTGAGGTTGTATTTCAACATGCTATTGATGTAATTGACAGTGAAGAAATATGGAAAAAATTTGTTGAATGGTGTATGAAAAGAACACCTTCTATTGCACAATCTTTATTAAAAAAGATAATTAATAAAGGCAAAGGAGGTGAGAGTGTATGGCTTGGAATCATTGATCTAGAACTAAATGAAAATCATTTATTAGAAGCATTCAATTATGTTCAGCAAGGAATTAAAACTTGTAAGTCTATAAGACTTATTAAAAAAGGAATTAAAATTGCTTTGTCATTAAAAGATGAAGAAAAAGAAAATGAAATGATTCTTTCTGGTGATTCTATTGATCCTCAAAATGTTGGACTAATCTTATTTAAGATAAAAAGAGAGATAAGAAAACAAAATTTTATTAACGCAAGAAAAATCTATGAAAATGCTTTAAAATTAAATGAAACATCTGTAAATTTATGGGATGCAGCTGCTCAATGTGAACTTCATCAACCTGGATCTTTCTCTGTTAGCAAAGCCAGAACAATTTATGAGAGAGGAAAGAACAAAAATCCTACAAGTCAAGACTTATGGATTTCCTTAATTCATTTTGAAAGAGAAAATGGAAACAAAAAAGTTTCAGATTCATATTTATCAGAAGGAATAAAAGTATGTAAATCTAACGGAAAATTATGGAAAGAAATGATCCAAACATCTCCAATTAATAAAAAGAAAACTACTTGTTCTGATGCATTAAGAGCTTTTGAAGGAAGAGACAAAGATGTTGACTATGCCAATGTTGTATTTGCTGTTGCAGAGTTTCTTTATAACAGTGGTAAAAAAGAAAAAGCAGAAGAATGGTTTAGAAAGGTTATTTTTATTGATCCAAATTATGGAGATGCATGGATTTGGATTTACAAAATTATTTATGAGAAAAAAGGAAAAATAACAGACTTTGAAATAAAGAAAAAAGATTGTATTGAAAAGTGTAGTTTATGTGAACATAAAAAAGGATTAATATGGTCTCAAGTCAAACGAAGAAATGAGTGTTGTCAATATTCTACTGAAGAGATACTTGAGAAAGGGAGATTAGCTATAAATTAGATAAATATATTAAAATTATTGTGATAAATGATATTCATTGGTTTGAATAAAAAAAGAAAAGAAAAGAATGTGAAAAGAAAAATTCCAAGAGAAAGGAAAAAGAATCTCATCTTGAAAATTTTCATGAGAACTAAATAATTTGATTAATGGAAACTGGTCTTCTTGGACATGCTGAACAAAAAGCACCAACCTCATTACAAAAATGTATATTGGGGTTAGTTGCATTACTAATTATTTTCCAAGCATTTGTACTTATTTTTATATTTACTTCTGGATATGTCACACTTGATAATTATAAACTATCTGCACAAAATATAATGGATAAAGCCGTTCAAGATGTCGATGAGGGATTAACTCAACCTGTATTACCAACATCATTTGTTACACCTTACCAACTCCCACGATATTGTCAATATAATAGAGGAACATGTTGGGCATTAGCTACCATTGGTCTTTTGGAACAATCATATAGAGATAATGGTATTAGAAAAGGATTTCTTAAAGAAAATGAATATCTTAGACTATCACCTCAAGCATATGCTATTGATGTCTTAAATCAATGTGCTTTACACCCAGAAGCTTGTCCAGGCAAACAAGGAATTGATAATTCAACAGAAGGAGGATATGTAGAATGGTTATATGCATTCACTGATTTATATGACAAAGTTATTCCAGAAAGTGCTTGTCCATATGCACAAGAAAATGAAGGACAATGGGAATGTGTTGATAAAGAAAAGAAACAAGCAAGTAATCCAATAAAATTCAATGTTACTAGTATAACTACTAAAAGAAATATTTATGATGTTAAAAAATTATTAGTTGACACAAATAAACCTGTTGCATTTGATTCATCATTAATCATTGGACAATATGCTATTCCAACTGCTGGACATGAAATGTTAAGGGCATTTGTCAAGAATGTAGACAATTGTCCAAATAGTAATAATGAAGAATGTATGTATCTTGAACAACATGAAATGAATCCAGATGGAGAATTCTTTATTGAAGATACAAAAGCTGCTAGTGAAGGAGGACATGCAATGAATATTGTTGGATATAATGATCATTTTGTTAATAAAGATGGAACTAAAGGAGCATTTATTGTAAGAAATTCATGGTTAGAAGCTGTTTATGATTATGATGCTAATCAATGGATTTTCCCAGAAGAAAAGCAAAGAAAGAAATTTAATGTTAAAGCAAATAAACTTCCACCACCAACACCTAGAAATTATTATAGAGGATCTCATTCATCAAAATATATAATGCAAGAAATTTCAGAATGGGATGAACGTATTTTATGTCCAAATCCAAATAATATTCAAAACTGGGATTCATGTGTCAATTTAGCTGTTGGACCTACTAAACAAGGAGTTAGACAAAATATTCCAGATTCATCAGCATGTTTCAATCAAACTTTTATGATGGAATATGCTAAGAATTATCGTAGACCAATGGAATTTAGATGTTTGAATCAATTTACAAGTGAATTATGTAGTGAAGAAGATTTAGATGGATCAAGATTCTTCTTGACACATAAATCACAATCTATTCACAATCCTAATTTGGTTAATTTCTGTATGTTAAGAGTAAATAAAACTGATATCACTCAACAAAAGGAATTTTGTGCTAATGATGTTCCATTTGATTATGTTGAATTCTTATTTATGCCAACAAGAGAATATATGGATTTATTACAAAACAATGAGGACTATTGTGGATTCCATATTTGGCCTTATAGTTACATCGAAAGAAATCAAAAATACAGAGGGTTCTTTGATGTAATTCATTTTGACATCACATGGGATGATCGTTCTTATTTAGCTAATAAAGAAAAAGGATTTGATTATCAGTACATTGACTCATCTACAAAGAACCAAGCTGATTTCCCTGAATTCATCGGACCAGAACCTTATCAAAAGAGATTCACTGAAT